TCCCCCTTCACGGTCAGTTATTCTTGTGTACAACGGTCGAGGGAAGGGGTTGGTTCCAATCTCTGGTAACTCTCCTTACCTCGGTTTCGCAGGAGGATCAAGCTCCAAAATCCGATTTCAATTAATTCCCCCATAATTTTTCGAATTTTTTCTTTTAAAAAATGCATTAAAATTTCAATTCAATACCAAAAAAAATGGCAGCCGCACCAAGAATTCTCTGCGTGCCACCGCCTGGGCTGCTGAGAACGCCGCTGCAGCCGCCGCCTCCACCGCTACTTCTACTTCCTCGTCCCCGGCCTCTCCCTCCACAATGGCGGACGGTTCCTCAACCATCAACATGAGCGCCATTAACACCGCATCCTTAGACAGCCTGCTCCGTGACTTCATGGCAGAACAACCCGCAGCTGAAGCCACCCCCACCAACATCTCCCTACTCACCATGATGCAATCCATGCAGGACACCATCCGTGCCCTCCAATCCTCCTTCGCCACTCCTCTCCAGCCGGATAGATAACATGGCACAAACATCGACCCCTTCCATCCAAGTGGTCACTACCACGATTCCCACTTCCACGCCGGGTTCTAGTCTGCCAACGTCCTCCTCTCCTCACTCCCACTCCCACCTCCACCCCTTCTACCTCCACTTCCACCTCCGGTCCATCCGCCACTCCCACCTCCACCGCTTCTATCTCCACCCCCACCGCCGGTCCATCCGCCACCCCAGCCTCTACGACCCCCATCCCAACGGCCACCACTAGCGTGTACCACCCACCTCCTCCCTCCTCCTCCCCTCTCATTGCCCAATTGCCGCACCATCCCCTCGGCACCCAATCCATACCCCCAACTCCCCTCTCACAACCCATCTCTACCTCATCCATCATCACCTCCCTCTGGATGCCCACCTACTCGCAAGTCACAACTATGTCACACCCCACCCTCCCCCAACACACCCCGAACGCCCTCCTCCCAACAAACCCCCAACATGACTTCACCCGCCTCGTTGACGCCTCACCACCCTCGACTTCAACGCACTCGCTACCCACATCCCTAGTTATGGCGAAATCCCCCGAACATTATAGGCCGACGACATTCCAACCTTGTCCCGTAAACCCAATGAGGATGTATCTCTCTTTCTCCGCCAACTCCAACAAGCTTCCTACCTCCACACCGTCCCCGTCATCCACTGGCTACCCATTGTCGGTACACGACTCCTCGCCAACACCGCCCACTGGTGCCTCACCGAAGTCGCAAAACCGCCAACTAAGCGCCAGCCATTGCACTCCTTCCTTGAGTGGGCTACGCTGATCACAACCACCTTCTGCCCACAAAAGACCGTCAATGATTACATCGATTAATTCTGTCGGCTTCGCAAAAATGGCCCCACCGATCGCTACGTCCAATATGTCCGCTCACTACGACAGCATATTCTCGTTCACCTGATCGCCGAGGACACTTTCATCTCCCGCCTCAAGCGTGTCTCCAACCGCGAAATCACCGCCGTCCTCGTCCATGAGTCCACCACAACATTATCCGATCTTCTCTCCCTCATTCTCCAAATCGACAGTCTCCTCTCAACTCACAAGGCCGCCATCCCCTCCGTCCCTTCCCGAACACGTTTCTTCCACAACATTGCTTCTGACGAGACCCTCACCACCACAATGTCAGATGAGCGTCCCTAGTTACGGCGAAATCCCCGTACATTCTAGGCCCACCACATTCCAACCTTGTCTGGTAACCCCAATGAGGATGTATCTCTCTTTCTCCGCCAACTCCAACAAGCTTCCTACCTCCACACCGTCCCCGTCACCCACTGGCTACCCATTGTCGGTACACGACTCCTCGCCAACGCCGCCCACTGGTGCCTCATCGAAGTCGCCAACCGCCAACTCAGTGCCGGCCATTGCACTCCTTCCTTGAGTGGGCTACGCTGATCACAACCACCTTCCGCCCACAAAAGACCGTCATTGATTACATCGACCAATTCTGCCGGCTTCGCAAAAATGGCCCCACCAACCGCTACGTCCAATATGTCCGCTCACTACGACAGCATATTCTCGTTCACCTGATTGCCGACGACACTTTCATCTCCCGCCTCAAGCGTGTCTCCAACCGTGAAATCACCGCCGTCCTTGTCCATGAGTCAACCACAACATTATCCGATCTTCTCTCCCGCATTCTCCAAATCGACAGTCTCCTCTCAACTCACAACGCCGCCATCCCCTTCGTCCCTTCCCAAACACGTTTCTTCCACAATATTGCTTCCGACAACACCCTCACCACCACAATGTCAGATGGGTTCTCCACACCCGACCTCGACACCGAGTCCACTTCTACCGACCCCCCATCTTTCACCCAGGAAGAAATCAACACCATCCATCTCCTCACGATGGAGCACGGGAACCGCCAGGCTCGCGCATCTCCTTCCACCTCGCCCCCTCGCTTAGCAAAGCTCACCCCGGAGGAATGTGCCTACCTCCAAACCAACAATGGCTGTTTTCGGTGTCGTAAGTTGGGCCACAAGCAAACCAGCTGCCCTAACGCTAGTCAGTTCACCCGATAGGCTCCCCGCTCCATGAGACCTCGGCCCGTCGTATCCGCTACCCCACCCTTTGCAACATCAGGACCCTCCCACAAATGAACACCGTCCCCTTGCCCATCGCGACCCCACCCCGACATTGACAACTAGTCAACCGGCCCCTCTATTGGCATCGGCAATCCATCTGCCACACCCACCTCCGGTGACACATATCCCACCGGATGACACTCAAGCGTCGCAATTTACTCCACCTGGCCCCCTTCCGACGATGTCCCTCACCCCGTCGGTCGAGCTCATCACTGGCACGTGTTCCTCTACCCTTCTCCCTAATACCTCTCACATCACCTTCTCCAATGTTGTTGAGGAACAAGCGCAACACGACCGACTTGTTAGACTAGGCATCGAACAACGCCAACTCAACAACATGATCTCCGCCGCTTGTGCTGGAACCGCCCAGTTTCAGCTCAAGTTCATATCCATCTCCCTCGCCACATCGACAGTGAAGTTTCGGGCCCTCCTCGATGGCGGGGCTAACGACAACTTCATTATCGACGCCTGTGTCCGCAAAGCCGGTCTCCCCTCAACTGGCTATGACTCTTCGATCACCATTCGCTTAGGGGACACGGACACAACCGTCATCATCGATCGCACAGGGGACAAGGACACAACCGTCATCGTCGATCGCACAGTTCCTGAGGTCACCATGAGTGTTGGCTCCCTCCGCAATCAGATCTCCTTCGAAGTCATGCACCTCATGTGCAACGTCGTCCTGGGAACTATTTGGATTGATCGCTACATGCCCTACTCTTTCTATCCCTCCTTCATCCGCCTCTCTTCTACTTCGAACTCTATCATTGACATCCCTTACATTCTCCCCCCTACCTCGAACTCTATCATTGACATCCCTTACATTCTCCCCCCTACCACTGATGGTGGGGCTAACGACAACTTCATTACCGACGCCTGTGTCCGCAAAGCCGGTCTCCCCTCAACTGGCTATGACTCTTCGATCACCATTCGCTTAGGGGACAAGGACACAACTGTCATCGTCGATCGCACAGGGGACAAGGGCACCACCGTCATCGTCGATCGCACAGTTCCTGAGGTCACCATGAATGTTGGCTCCCTCCAGAGTCAGATCTCCTTCGAAGTCATGCACCTCATGTGCAACGTCGTCCTGGGAACTATTTGGATTGATCGCCACATGCCCTACTCGTTCTATCCCTCCTTCATCCGCCTCTCTTCTACTTCGAACTCTATCATTGACACCCCTTACATTCTCCCCCCTACCACCCCACCCCCGTCTCCCCCCACCAATTCCTCTACATGTCTCGCCAACACCCTGACTCCACCTACTATTGTCTCGTCATCGACCGTGAGCATCCTGATGACTTGATTCCAACGGACAAACCCGACCAAGCCCCCCCATCCGACCCTCGCATCACCTCTCTCCTCTCAGAATTCAAGGACGTCTTTCCCGAGTCCTTGCCTGCCCGCTTGCCACCCGATCGCGGTGTATCTCACACCATTAATCTCAAACCCGACCATTCCCCTCCTTGCTGCCCTCCGTACCAACTCTCCGTCCCCGAGACCGAAGAGATGAAGCGCCAACTCAATGAACTCCTTGAAAAAGGATTCATTAAGCCTAGCTCATCCCCCTTCGAAGCCAGCTGCCTCTTTGTCAAAAAGGCCGACACCTCGGAGCTCCGCATGTGTACAAACTACCGCGCCTTGAACCGGATCACGATCAAGATTAAGTATCCACTCCCCCGGACATCTGAACTTCTTGATCGCCTCCGTGGAGCCAAATACTTCACCAAGATTGACCTCCGCAGTGGCTTCCACCAAATCCGTATTCGCAAGGAAGATACCCATAAGACCGCCTTCCGCTCTCGCTTCGGGCATTACGAGTTCCTAATGATGCCTTTCAGCCTCACAAATGCCCCAATGACCTTCCAGTGCACCATCAACCACATCTTCCGCGATCTCCTCGAAGTCTGCGTCGTGATCTACCTCGACGACATCCTTGTCTCAGTCCCACCTTCGAGTCCCACCTTCAGCACATCGAGAAGGTACTTTCCATCCTCTACGAGCAAAAGTTCTACGCTAAGCTTAGCAAATGAACTTTTGTCGCCTCGAGCGTGGACTACCTTGGCTACATTGTCTCTGTTGACGGTATCCGCATGGACCCCTCGAAAGTCGCCGCTCCTGTCGAGTTCCCACATCCCACCACCTTGCTCCAACGTCGGACATTCACTGGACTCTCTAACTACTACCGCCCCTTCATCCAAAACTTCTTCGATACCACCTATCCACTATCCACTCCACGAGATCACCCGCACCGCCGAGTCCTTCACATGAACCGAACGCCGCCAAGCCGCATTCGACAAACTCAAATACCTCATCACTACTGCCCCTATTCTCAAGATCGCCGACCCTTCTCGCCACTTCTACGTCACCACCGACGCTTCGGACTTTGCCCTTGGCGCGGTTCTATCCCAACATTTCCCTCACGACCCCCCCACTATCAAAGATTCCCCCACACGATCCGAAGCACCTCCCGACGAGTACCCTATCGCATTCGCGAGTAAGAAGCTCATTGCTGTTGAGATGAACTATCCCTCCAATGAGAAGGAACTCCTCCCCGTCAACTATGCCCTTAAAGTCAGGCGCCCTTACCTCGATGGCCAATACTTTACCATTCGCACCGACAATACCGTCGTCTCCAGTAACCTCACCAAAAAGGATATCACCCCTCGTTAGGCCCGCTGGCTGGACTTTCTCGCCCAGTTTACCTTCACCGGCTGCCATACTCCTAGTAAGAGCAATCGTGTTGCCGATGCCCTCTCTCGCCAACCCAATCACAAACCCCCTGAGAAAGTCTTCGCTGCCATGACGCATGTCAGCCTCCCCTAATATCTCCAACATAGCTTCATCCATGGCTACGCCTCCTGCCCCGACTTCGGCCCTACCTACACCAAACTCCGCGACCTTGACATTGTCCCTGACTATTCTCTCATCGACCATCTCTTCTACATCGACACCAAAGGAACTCGCCGCCTTTGCATCCCTTTCGTCCGTGGTCTCCGTACGCAGTTCTTGGCTTAACACCACGACGCCAAGACTGTCGGACACCTCGGTTTCCAGAAAACCATTGACAATATCTCCCGTTACCTCTACTGGCCCTCGCTCCTTGCCGACGTCAAAGCCCACATCCGTCCTTGCCCTACTTGCCAAACCGTCAATCCCTCCAACCAAGCTAAGGCTGACAAACTCTAGTCTCTCCCCATACCCACCCACCGCTGGCAATCTGTCTCCATGGACTTCGTTTGTGGTCTCCCCACGACCGACCATGGTCACGATTGCATCTATGTCGTTGTCTGCCGCCTTACCAAGCGCACCCATTTCATCCCTCGCACCACCACCTGCCAAGCCAAGGACGTCGCCAAACTCTTCTTCGACCATGTCACTCGTCATCATGGTCGCCCATAAAACATCATCAGCGATCGTGACTCCCGATTCCTCTCACAGTTTTGGAGAAATCTCTTCAAGGAATATGAGACCACCCTCAAGTACAGCACCACCTTTCACCCCCAGACTGATGGTCAGACAGAGAAGATGAATGATACTCTCTAGCGCATCCTCCAGACGTATTGTCATCCCCATCGGCACGACTGGGACCAGCTCCTCTCCGCTGCCGGGATCGACTACAACAACGCTGTTTGCCCCTCCACTGACATGTTTCCTTTCTACCTTGACCTTGGCTACCATCCTCACCTGCCCTCTGACTTCTTGCTCCCCTCGCAGCTCAACCCATCTACTCCCTGTCCCTCTCTCAATGAGTGGGTTGCCACAATGAACCGCCTCCTAAGGGAAGCCACCAGATCTATTCAACGAACCCAGGAACAACAAGCCAAGCAAACGAACAAACATCGCCGTGACGTCACTTTCCATGTTGTGGACAAAGTTTGGCTCTCCGCCAAACGCTTTGATCCCGAACAAGGCTTGTCCAAGAAACTCTCGAACAAGTGGCTCAGTCCATTCCCCATCATTGAAAAAAAATCCGCTGTAAATTACAAGCTCCAACTCCCTCCTGACATGAACCTCGTCCATCATGTCTTCCATGTAGAATACTTGAAAGAATTTCACGGATTCCCTCCTGAGTTCTCTGATCGTCCTCATCCTCGTCCAGCACCTATCATGCTCCCCACCGGTCCTGAATTCTCTGTGGATTCAATCATCGGCCGTAGAACAACTCAAGTATCCAACCACCCCGAGCCTATCACAGAATACAAAATACAATGGACAGGATACCCAGATGAAGAATCAACATGGGAACCCCTTGCAAATCTAAAGAACACCATGAAACTCGCCCGTGCCTATGATTGTACCCACCCTGTCTCATAGCTATCTACTTGCCTATGCCTCGACCTGTACATCCCTACTCTACACACACCACCCCTGAGCCCAGCCTAACCCCTACCTTTGATCTTGATCTCTCGCTGTCTGATCCGCCCTTGCCCAGGCCTAATTCCTTCCCATCTGTCCTCTACCACACTCTCTGTCTCTCTTGACCAATGGTTTGTGGACTTGCGTGACGCCGAAGATAAAGGATCTAATGGCAAGCGCACGAGGACGATGGCATGCTGCCTCATGATCACGAAGATAACGCAGCTGGTTTGGCCACCATGCTGTTTCCTTGGCCGACATCTGGACTCGCGGACTTATTGGAGCAGCGACGTGTGATCTGGACCTTTGCATCAGTCTGCGATTTCCTTGCTACAGGATCAGACCTCCTTGCAGTTCATGAACCGAATGTACTTCAACACTTGAACTTTGGACACTTGTACTCCTACTTCGTTTTCCCGCAGCTAGGACATTCGACAACTACCTGTTGCAGCTGCTGGAGACCGGTTCTCTCCCCTATCCTGGATCTGATCAAGACCTTCCTCAAGACATTTTCCGCATTTTGACACTTTGTTACAGACCTGACACTTTGTTCTTCCCAGATTCCTCGGACACCCCAGCCCTTGAGCATTGAACAAAGTATTTTTATTTTTCCTTTTCTCAAACCTGACAACCTATAACCTTGTAGAACATCAGTAGGACTGCCCTGCTACTTGTAGAACCTTAATAGGATCACCCTGTTACTTGAACATTGCTACCCTCAACCTTGTAGAACTTCAATAGGACTACCCTGTTACCTAAACATTGCTACCCTCACCCTTGTAGAACCTCAATAGGATTACCCTGTTACTTGAGCATTGATTCCCCCATCCCCGTAGAACATCAATAGTACTGTACTGAACTTGAGTCCGGTACTTAAGACCGGACTCAAGCTCAGTACGAGCAACCAGTTTTCAGCCTCATTGCTTGTGTTCAGTGTGAATATGCTTCAACATTGTGTTCAGAAATCCAAGATTGCAACTTTGAGACTTTGCCCTTTGTGTCTGCGTCCGTCGAGTTGTGTCGAGTCTGCGTCGAGTTGAGTGAGTGTGTGTGTGTGCTCTCACTCTCCTTCCCTCTCCCAGCCTCGCTGCCCTGTCTCCGCCTTGTTACAGTTCTCCCGTGAAGACGTTACAACAGTGCGCAGTATCGACATCAGCATCAGGTAAGTATCCCCTCTCTCTCTCAATCAATCCACAGATCCCGATCTCCCTCCTTGTCTCGTTCAACACAGCAATGAAGACAGTGTGGTGAATGCCACGTCAGCAATGGTAGACAGCATGGCATGCACCACGTCAGCAAGCCAGAAGACAGCTGGCGCCACAGCGGAAAGGCGCCAGCACGCGTCCAGCAGTCTCACGTCGTCGTCGCACAGTGCCAGCGTCAAGCCAGCGTCAAGTCAGCACGGCGAGACTGAATGTTGACTCCCGGAGGCAGGGGCCTTAAGTAGTGTTGACGAGGTTGACCTGCCTCTGGTCTCCCACCCACGGTGGCTCAGATTGACTCACAACCGACGACCGGGATCTCGTACAGTTACAGACTTCCACTTGGTCCGGATGCTGTCCGGGTACCTGCATACAAACAAGTGTGTGTGTCTGACCGGCGGCCTGGCTGGGTCCATGCAGACTTTGACTGGAGGGCCTCGTACAGTTGACTTTCTGTCAACTGTCGGGCACAGGGCCCCAGAACTCAACATTTGGGGGTCCTGCCTCTTGGCAATGCGGCCTAGGGCTGACGTCGGGCCTGAGGGTGGCCCGTTAGACAGTCAACGAGGCATATTGAAGCGGGTTATTGCAGCTTCCATCAAGATTCCAGTGCATGATCTGTTCGTCAACAGGTACATGTCTACCATTCAGCCATATGGGTGGGGTCAATAATCTACTGTACGTCGGGTCGAAGATACCTTAAGAGACCTTGGCCGAAGTTACATTACGTACCTTGGGTCGAAGTTACCTTACGTCCCTTCAGTCGAAGTTACCGTATGTACATTGGGTCGAAGTTGCATTACGTACGTTGGGTTGAAAATACCTTGCGTACCTTGGGTCGAAGTTACCCTATGTACATAGGATCGAAGTTCCCGTACATACCTTGGGTCGAAGTTACCTTATGTGCATGGGATCCAAGTTCTTGTACGCACCTTGGGTCAAAGTTATCTTATGTACCTAGAGAGAGAGAGAGAGAGAGAGAGAGAGAGAGAGAGAGAGAGAGAGAGAGAGAGAGAGAACTCATCTTCTTCTTCTTCTTCTTCCTCCAGTCCACCATCTCTCCGTCACCCTTTAGCTACCTGACCTCTCAGTATCGACATACTGCGAGAGAGAAAGAGAGAGAGAGAGAGAGAGAGAGATTTGTGACTTTGGGATTTTGACGACATTTGGATACAGACTCGACATTGAGACAGAGACATTGGATGGGGGACTATTTGGGGATCGATATCGACGACATTGTGTTGACGACATTCTCATCTCCTCCCTCCTCTTCGTCTGATTCCCCTCCTCCTCATTTGTGTGTGATCTGAGCCTGGCGCATTCTTCCTATGTGTAGCGCCAGGCCCCTTTACACCTTGCGATGATGATTGATGTATATTTGGTCTGCATTGCGACATTGATTGGTCTGATCATTGGTATTTCAGTCTTCCCCTGCTCTATCCTGTACTATGTGAGAGAGGTTTTGGTCTGCACCATAATGGTATGCGACAAGTGACAGAACACTCCCATGACTCGAGTTGATTGAGTACTGTTGTTTTAACGTGTAAGTTTATTATTATATTATAATAATTATACCACCTCTTAAACCACCAGTACCTCGTCCTGGTTAAAAAAAGAGTCGCAGCGCGTTAACAGTCGCGACTTTAGGGGGTCGGCCGATGTACTACCGGTATGAAGATGAAGTTGGAACTATCAAAAAAGAAAAAGAAAAACAGACAAAAGAAAAAAAAGAAAAAGAAACTTGAAAATGAGGGCGCGGATCACGCACACACACACACAGAGAGAGAGAGAGAGAGAGAGAGAGAGAGAGAGAGAGAGAGAGAGAGAGAGAGAGAGAGAGAGCTGCGGAGAGGGCGTGGCGGGACACTAGATAGTGAAAAATGAGATTCAACGTGCCTTCAGCAGGAAGATTCCTTCTCATTTTTCACATTTGTACAGAGAGAGTGCAGGGGAAGGGGGGTGGAAGGAAGAGAGAGAGAGAGAGAGAGAGAGAGAGAGAGAGAGAGAGAGAGAGAGAGAGAGAGAGAGAGAGAGAGAGAGAGGAGCCGCATCTCTCTCTCTCTCTCTCTCTCTCTCTCTCTGATACATGCTCGATTGAGCGATGCATATGGAGCCAAGGATCCGCAAAGTGATGAAAAGGACTCGAATGGACAATGCAGCGTCAGCAAAGCATCAACAAGCAATGTACATCCAGATACATACAAAAATAGCACTATGTAGCCCAGCGGAGGACTCAAAGATATGACCTGACCTGTCAGATACTGATGCGACACCCCATCATACACCACACATGTGAGAGAGAGGGGAGGGACCGCATACATACACGAAAGGTCCCTCCTTGACCACGCACATGGGGAGATACCATGGAGGCGGAGATGGGGGGAGAGGCAAGATGAAGATGGAGATGAGGGAGAAGACCAAGATCGCGATAGTGAAGTCCAAAAATAGTCTCCCTGCTGAATGCCCAATCAACGTCTGCCACAAAAAAAATGTCGAATCAGATCCTGGGCGTCATGGCCCGATGTAACCTCTGCCTGTAACCTCTCTCTCTCTCTCTCTCTCTCTCTCTCTCTCTCTCTCTCTCTCTCTCTCTCTCTCTCTCTCTCTCTGATAGAAGAAGAAGAAGAAGAAGAAGAAGAAAAAGAAGAATGTCGGCCTCCAATCTCACCTGCCGTCGGTAGTGATTGACACTCTCCTGTCATGCAGGTTGCTGGCGTGAAGACCCAGCTACAGCGGCCAGGTAAGTCCTCTGTAAACTGTAGGTATGGCCTCCACCCTCTCTCTCCCCTCTACCTCCTATCTGGCCTCTACCTCTACCTAACGCAGCGCTGCGTCGCATTGCTCGAGCAACGTGTCGCCCAAGAAGTGAGCT